GCTTTGCACGTAAGAATTGTTATGCTTGCTTCTTTCTGTGGTTTTATTAGTGCATCCTCTAAAAGTTGCATGTTATACTCCGTGAGCAGTTTTCACGAAGAAATCTTCTATTTGCCGCTGGAGCTTTCTCGAAAAGTGCATGAATCCCTGGCTTTAAAGTCTCTTGACGTGAGATTACATCATGGTTCCCTTGCAAATTTTGGTACAATCATCAATGGCAAGTTTTCCTTCTCAGACCTTGGTTTTGTTAGAGGAGCAACTCATGTTGGTGATACCTGCATCTCACATACAATTTTGCATCGCATGGTGTAGTTTGGAACGTGGGGTCTTTTATTTTCTATGGCGGATCAACGTTGGATATGTAAATACTTATTTAATATATGGCCTTAAAATGCTTATGTTCCTGTAACCCCGGTATTATTGCTTATCCCAGAGGTGGAATCTTGGAAACATGGCAGAAAGGTTGTGCAATTATCAGTGATCATAGTTACGCATCTGCTAAAGCTATATTTTGGGAGTAGGATGTCTCAAGTATTTATGGTCTTGTGTTTGTTAACCATGGTTATTTACAGACCCTTTCCCTGTTTCTACTTTGTGAATTATGTATGAATGTTAGCTGAATTACAAAGTTGATTAGCAAGCATTTAAGTTTGAAATTCATTTGGATTGGCTTATTTGAAGTGTTTTTTAATCCAAAACAGATTTTAAGCACTTCTGAAGTGTGTGGATAACTTACAAAAGTGCTTATAAGCACTTCGTTTTAAGCTAAAATGGTAAAAATAAGTCAATCCAAACAACTAGTTGTGTCTATCATAAGATGCAACAATGGACAGTTTCAGACGTACTTTCTAATTAGGTAGAGAATCAATGAATTTAACTTGAAAAATAGTAGTACTAGTTATAAGCGTTAATCAGCGGATAAGAAAAACAAATATTATATATTAACTACTAAAATTATGCGCTTCGCACGGTGTCAAAGTGAATTTTTTGTATACTTGAGTATTACTATTATTTGAAATGCTGATTTTGATAATTTGAAGAAGAATTTGAAATAGTCTGTATACTTTATATGTGTAAATATTTCAATTTTTTCGTTACAGAGTTAGATTTTATTAGTTTCTTCATAATTTTCTCCTTGTTTAAAATTTGAAAGAAGTCAAAACTGAAAGGAGAAAAGGGCATAAAGTCTGATTCATTTGTACTAAATATATATATGCGAAACCAAATAATTTGTATTCTTCTTGCCTTTCTTCTATTTTACCTTCTTTTTTTTCTTGTTGAAAACATTATTTGATATATCAGCATGACATCAATACAAAGAAAGAGAGAAACAAAAAAGATAAATAGATAGACTCATATATATATGTTGGCTTTAAGGGATCCGGGTAAAATGCAAACAAAGAAAATGAATAGTTACACCGTTTCTTAAATTAGGTGACTGTTTGGAAATTGTAACGCATAACATAAATATAAAAAAAGTTAAAAGGAACAAATAAAAAATAAGAGAAAAATGATAAAGAAGAATTGATTGAACGTGTGAGGGTGTTGCATTACCGGACTAAGGGATCGTTTGGTACAAAGATTAATAACGCAGGGATTGGTAATGCAAGGATTAGTAATGCAAGGATTAGTAATGCAGGGATTAGTAATGCAGGATTTATTTTTATCACGTGTTTGGTTCAATGTTTCCCACCTATATTGTGTTTGGATTAAAACTCTATAAAAAGCTTCATTTCAATTATACCCTTGAATTATTATGTAATTGGGTCAAGGTAGATAATTGCCGAACAATATTATTTTTTTATGGCTTTCTAACTAGCTATGAGAAGAACAATTTTGTTGTCATGTTTGCTACTTTTTCACTTGAATTATTTGAGGATAAATAATTGTCATCTTAATAAATTGATCACTCACAAAATGTCATTTTTCAATTTAAAAAAGATAAACCATCTACTTTTAAAATCGAAAAGACGGTCAATAATGGTAAAATTGAATAAACCATCTACATTTATACATAAAAATTGCAAGTTGTAGTTTTAATATGTATGTAATTTTTTAAAATTGTTCAAGATACAAATAATTAGAATACCACACACACACAACGTCATATACAAATAAACAACTCACATTTCAAATTTGTATTGATTTGTATTAGATTTATTTAGTAACAAACAACTCTCTCTAAATAATTTGTAAGCTAATTTATTTAAATAAATTTACTAGTTAAAATATAAATCATAAAATCAAGAAAATAAACAAAATAATTAAAATGATTTGAGGGATTTTTTTGTCTTTACATAGACTTATCCCATGATATTATATCTATGTATTACTAATACCTCCAAATGGAAGGTATTAGTAATACATCCTATAATACCATGTAGGAGGTATAACTAATCCGGTGAGTCACTCAACAAGAGCAAAGAACACAAATATTTAATTGTGCAGAAGAAGTAATTCAGAATTTTCATTTTTTAAAATGAGAGGAAATTCCTCTATTTATAGATAACAATGGGTAGTGTGAACAAACGTTTATTGTGCCTTTTCGGAAAGGTCACAACTTTTTGGAAAAGTTACCTGCCTTCGAAAAGGTCACAACCTTTCATAAAAGACATAATTTTCATAAAAGTCGCAACTCTTCATAAAAGTCAAAACTTTTCATAAAAGGGAAATGCTAGTTTTGAAAATAAATAAATTAAAAGGGAATTCTGGTTTGTGGTGGCGCCACGTAGGCGGGCCTAGGATTCTCTTTTATATATATGTGTGTGTGTGATGATATATGATAAATGAGTATGAATCTGTGACTTTATAAAATGAATATGAGCTTAAGGTGTAAAGTTCATTAGTCGGAGCCCCTAAATTTTCATGACTAAGAGTGCAATAAATTTTAGGATTAGCAAACATAAAGATCATATTTGTATGTTATAGTTATAGTTTGTATAATTGCTTATGTTTGCTAAGGAGCATCAGACTTGTATAAAATCACTGGCAGCCTCTCGTTTGTATAAATCGATGGCAACCTCTCAATTCAATTTTATGTGTTTGTATATCTGCAGAAAATTTGAATTTGTATACAATTGAATCAAAATAAAACATTTGTATATCAAATCTCTCTCTCTCGCTTTATACAACACAAATTATACATTGTAATTTGTATAGTATGTGTTTGTATAAAGCGAGAAAGAGAGAAAGGCAAAAGAGAACTAGGTAGGGGAAGATCTGTATTTGTATAATTCTAAGTGTATAGGACGAAAATATATGTATTTGTATATACAATTTTCTCTCGCTTTATACAAACACAAACGCATTTATACATTTGTGTTTGTATAAAGTGAGAGAGGCGAGTGATAGACTGGCGAGCGAGAAATCTAGGGAGAGAGGCGAATGACAATTGTTTGCTACGGGGTACAATTAAACCAAATTGTAGTTCAAATTAATAATTTGTTGTTTTATACCATTTTCCCTCTAAAATTTGTATCATGCATTGACGCATGGAGGCCCTAAATATTATTCTCTTGCTTCGAGTTGAACAATTAACATAAGAGACTCACCCTTTCCTAGACCTCATTGCTCCTATTAATGCATGTTGAAAATCATCTTTAATATTCTTCCTTGTTGAAATCATTACCTCTTAGTTCTCATATAGCTTTATCAATAGCCTTCTTAGCTTCCCTCTTTGGTTCTTTTTGGACCTGTAGGCACGCACACCTAACACTTCAATTGCTACTTTTCTAATGCAACCTACTACTGTCGTCCCTATTTACTTGTCAAATTTAACTTGACATACTTGTTAAGAAAATAATGATTGATTTAGTGAGTTTACCATTTTACTCCTACTAATTGATAGGATTCTAAACATATTTACTCACTACATTTTTCAAAGATATTAACTCAATATTAATAAATTGAGAGTATAATAGAAAAATGAAAATTGTTTTTTCTTGATTTGTCAAAAATAACAAATAAAAAGAGAAATCAAATTAGAAAATATTAGTAACACTTTTCTTCAATAGCCTTGAAGTTTCTTTCTCCTATAGTTTTTTCTCAAAACGCTAACTTGTTAGCATCATTTAATGCCCACCACCTAATTCGCGATTATTTCCAACTTGTCTACTTACCCACTCTACTCTTAAGCTTCATACTAATACTACAAACTTTGTATAGTAATACGTAGTATATAAAAAAATATATACTCCTTTAATTTTTTATTTATTATTTTTTCTTTTAAGTCTGTTTCGGAAAGAATGTTTCTTTCACTTTTTAGTAATTTTTTAATTTCAACTCTTCACATGATACGTTTAAGACCACAAGATTTAAAAGTCTTTTTTTTTCTTAAACTCTTTTTATGTCAAAACAAAACAATCAAATTAATGGAGTACATTTTTTTTTATATAATAGTATATATTTCTATAGATATCTGAATAGCAAATATAATTATTTTTTGTTGACCGGCCAAATAAGTAATTTGCACAAATGCTTATACTTTCTCCCTTGCATGTGTTTCTTCTATCCATGTTTAATTAAAAAATTTGACTTTGGTTTATACTGGAAGTCCGTACACTCAAACCTCTCTATAACAACCAACCTCTAAAGTAACATTTCACTATATTTTTTTGTAAAATCGATATTTCTTTATATATTATATTAAATGTTTTCTAAATGCTAAAAAGATATTGCAACAAATAATATTATTATAAAGAGATTTGAATGTAATACCAGTCAGGTTAAGGCAAGTCTACTCTCATTAGGTTCTATGCCTAAAGAGAATTGAGTCGACTCACACTTGTTCTTGTGCATGTCACTTGTGTATTACTCCCTCCGCCAATTTAAGTGGCAGACAGTTTCTAACAAACCATACAATGTCACATAAACTTGAGACAAAAGTAGATTGAGTAGTTTGTAGCCTTTTTCTCCATACCATCAGACAAGCTACGTATCAACCTGTAATTATTTAAGTAGCCTGATTTGGATTACCAGCAGCAAGGAGATGGAGAAGAGAGTAATTTATGATCCAACTCACATCCATAAAATCCTCATCAACAGGGTATCTCCTTCCTATGCTAAAAATAATAAAAGTGAATACAACTAGCAACCAAAATGATAAATCTAACCAATTACATCTCTAACAATATGCTTTAAACTGAAAAAAACCTATCCAGAAACCTAGCACCACCATAACTAAAAAGCTATGACAGGCTTTTGCAAGCTGCACCTCTAGATTTTGCCAAACAGCAAATAGCACACAAGGAATAGTAGGCACCATAGCCTCTTCAATGAGCCGCAATGGGTCCAAGAATGTAAGTAGGCACTACAAGAGGAGCTCCACTATTACAAGATGTGCAACAAATAATCAGTTTTTTCCCCTGGCACGCTTCTTTCCACTCTTTGGCTCACTTTGTCGTTCCTTTGATGCACTAGAGAGTTTCTCCTTGGTGCTGCTATCAGGGGTTTTTGCTGAGTTAGTTGCTTTTTCCTTCTGGTTCCCACTCTCTTTAACCTTTGACGAACTAGATTTTAGCTTCTCCATGCCATTGGCACCGGACTTGCCACCACTTTGCGGGGTTCTAGTTTTGGACTTGTTGGCAGCTTTGACAGTTTCTTGCTTGGACTTGTTGGCAGTTGTTGATGGAGTATCTTGCCTGGACTTGGATTTGGGAGTACTACTACTAACATCTTTAGACCTGGCAGATGGCTTTTCAGTATCAACAGATTTGCCAGTGCTCTTTTTGGATTGGGCCCCAGACTTGCTGCTGGTTGTGTCATCAGTTTTCCCGGCAGATTTTGAGGTGCCATCTTTCAAGTTGAGTTTACCCTTGGATTTCTGTCCAGATTTAGCTGTTGCGTCTTTTGACTTGCTGCAAAAAGATCCCCACCATTGGTACCATTAGGCTTTCAAAACGTCATGTTAATACGTCACACAAACACATGGTTAAGGAGATTATACCAACCTTTTAGGTGAAGCCTCCATTTCGTGCTTTGGTGATGGTTCAGCATTCTTAGGTTTTTTCTTCTTATGACTGACATATCAAAAACAGAGTCAAAGTTAAACAAAGAATAGTCATACTGTTAACTTCACTTGGAAGATTTCTGTCCTTTCTTTACCTAACACAATGAATAGAATGAATGTTAAAAGTACTTCTACACAGAGAGATTGAGAAAAGAGAGTAAATAGCAACTACAAAAATATTATAATCCAAACATAATAACACAATGAGTACAAGTATTGGTTTTACTTTGCTCATCGAAGAAGAATTTCCATATCAACATACTTACCTCTCCTAAAGTTACTAAAAAGCGGATTATTTGGAAGCAGAACAAGAAATTCAAGAAATTGCAAAAACTTTTTTTGCTTTTGATAGCATTGCATGTATCACAAAAAAAAAATGAAGCTATAGACTGGACAAAGATATCAAACCCAAAAAACATCAAAGGCACACAAAAATAGCACAACACAGCAATAAGAATCTTCTGTTGTTTCTTCAGTTGAGACATATTAGTAAGTGGTTATAATGCTATAGAGACACTTGTAGCTGAAAAATTGCAGAAGGGTTTCAGAAAGGGAGACAATTCAGATTACTTTGGCTCAAATCGAGTAAGCTTCTTCAGGTGAAAATAAATGCTTCAAAACCAAATAAGGAAATGGTGATAAATGGCCAGGCTTACCTTTCAGAAGCTGCATCAGCACTAGCTACTTGCTCCTGTCGACAAATGCATACTAATGTATCAAAGAAACATAACCATAATAAATGCAAATATAGTAGTCAGTAACTAACCTCTTCTGACATATTACCATCTTCAACAAGTTCCCAGCGTTCCTTCAAGAGATTTAATTTTTCTGTCTCTCCATCAGTATAGTCAATCTAATAAGAAAAAAATTTAATCAAACATATGAGTGTTGCATCAAGGGAACAATTCCATTTCTTGAAGCAGAAAACAAACTGCACTTACTGTGAACCTCTTCCTTGAAGAATCATAATTTCTAACCGTCCCTTCATAAAATCTGTGACAACAAATCAGATCAAAATTATCCCAACTAATACAGAACTGGAGAACTTCCTCGGATACAGTGAACTCAAAAACAGTAATTCCAAACTATCATGTCAAGAATGAGGAAGGAAAAAAAATTGTTCCAAAGCATCATAGAAGTAAGATGAACACTTACAGTTCATCTAATGGCCACCAAACTTTGATCTTTTTACCAACCAGGTTCTTATCACATTGCACAGTCTCTGTAACCTGTCAAGTAATAGCAGCATTGCGGCACAAACCACTGATTAATCACACAGGAGTACTCTAGAACCTAAGTGGATTTAACCTTCAATAAAACAGTTGGTCAAGATAGCTTTCTTGGTGCATTAAATATAGACGAGCAATCAAAAATAAGTGACTAAGAATGTCAGTAACACAGAAGAGGACAGAAGGGAAATAAGGCAGTAATGCCCTGTCAAAAGGAGGAAATCAGAGTAGAAGGCTTTTGCATTCTCACTAAACAAGATTAAGATGGCATTTGCATTTGCCATTAGTTGTTTCCAAATACCGAAGTTGTTTTTGGAACAAGCAGCTGTTAAAAACACGCAAAAAAATCTTTTCAATTTTTCATTAATGGAAGTATACTAGCACTAAACATGTTGCAACAAATGGTAATTTGCTACAAACTTTCTATAACCACTATTAGCTTTTATAATAATATAATCAATTGGAAGAAATGATCAACTAAAATCAATTTTCAATTTCAAAATAGAAGCCTCATAGCACAGAACAACAGAGCATTAGTATCAAAACAAGCCCGGGATAAAATGGGAAAACATGAACAGTATTTTTTATCAAAATGAACAGTGATTTGAAATGCTTACCATATCCTTGCCTGAAGAAGGCTTTTTCTTTGCACTTGTCATGTCAGTTTCATCTTCATCGCTTACATGTTTAGTAGAATTGTCGGGAGAGTCAGGCGTAGGCACACTCTTCTGCACAACTTGCCTACTCCCCTGCACAACGAAATAACAACTGATGAGACAGACATGGAGGATCTTGGTAAGTACCAGGAAGTAAAATCGAACAAGCTCAGCCATAAGAATTGCACAAACAGGAAAAAGTGCATAGCACATCACAATAGTATCTCGAATAAAATGTGCATTACACATGAAATCAATAATGTAAAATACTTACCCTGCCCTTGCTTGAAGAACGCTTTCTCTTTGCAGTAGTCCTGGGAATATCCTCTTCATTATCTTCATCATGTTTAACAGAGTGATCGGGAGACTCTTGTGAAGGCAACGTCTCCTGCACAGTGAAATTGACTACTGATAAGACGTACATGGACACATTGGTAGTCCAACAGGGAGATGAAGTTACACTGAGAAGAGATAAATTATTGAACATCATATTAACTAAAAGATTTAGTAAGTTTTTACCTGACTAGCTTTTCCATGTCCACGCTTTTTGCCATCTTCCTTATTTCTCGCAGATGAACCAACCTGACTCTTAGTTTTGGTATCAACCTTCTTGCCCGATTGCTTCTGCTTTTTAGCCTCGGTATCACTGGTGGATCCACCTTTCTCCTTACGACAAGGTTCTAAAGGAGTTTTCTTCAAAGGGCGCCTCACCTGCTTAACTTCCAAGTCACTTCCAGCTTCAAATTCCTTCTTAGACACACTGTCTTCTTGATTTAAGCTGTCCTCCTTTGGCCGACCACCCTTCTTCGGTGCAATCTCTTCAGGAAGGCTCTGACCTGGGGATGAAGGAGCAATATCAACAACTTCCTCCTCAGATTCTTTGGGTGCTGAGTGTTGATCAGTTTCTGGTTCCTTCTCCAACAAATTGGACTGCTCAACCACTGGATCTTCAGAAGCTGAACTTTGGTCATCTTTGTTTTGATCATTCTGATGATCTTGAAGCTTCTCAGTTTCTTTTCCACTTCCTTCAGGAGCTTGGTGAGAAGATTCTGCTGAGTTTATTGAAGAGATTGTCTTCCGTCCTCTTTTCTTAGAAGGTTGTTCAGACTTGGGCTCCGACTTTGTAGACTTTTCAACCCTTGAATCATCAGATTCAGATTTGGATGGTATCTTTGAAGCATCATGGAGATCCACCTCATCATGATCTCCAGCCTTCTTCAGCGATTCTGTTTCAGAAACCAATCTCACATTCTCCAAACTAACACCATTACTTGTGATTGATTTGGGAGATCCATTCACAGCAGGATCAATATCTTCTGAACATGCCTCATCCCTTCCGCTCTCAGCCATCTGAACAAACAAGAAAAGTTTCCAGCTAAATACCTTAAACTGACAGTCAGCCAACAGAGATTGCACGCCATAAGCATACCATGGTGCTAACATGTTCAATTCAACTCCACACCATCCAGTACAGATATCAAAGACATTGTTCGTTCCTAACGGGGGTGTTATTCATTGATTTACCAACACAAAAAACTGGCCCATTCAGACAATATTTGGTTGAAGATGAAAATATGAGTATTTGATGTTGAATTTGAACAATAATGAAGTTGCAATTTTGAAATTTCACTTGAGGAAAAACGGAAGTTTTATAAGAGAACCCACTATAGGTGGAGTTGAGATGGTGAACAAATTTGTAACACAAACATTGACATGCAAATAATATTTCATTATTTTGCAAGTTTTATGTCCAACAACAACTAGATAATATACAAACTACTTGCCTGGACTGCTTCGCCTGAAGATGCTGTAGCCACTTTGCTCCCACCATCCTAAATGTAAGAAGGATTCAGAGGAAATGTACAACAAAGTTAAGACAAAAGTTCTGGGAAAATCAGTAAAGAAAGTTATCCAAAGCATCACACCTGAGTGGCCTGAGCAGCCTCTGGAAGTTCAGCCAACTTGGTTTCGGTGACCTAGAAAACACATCAATACCAAACCTCTTAAGAGTGGGGGTATAAGGGTAATTTACATTGTTAGCAGTAATAAATAGCATCAGACCTTCCAAGTCATTCTTGTGCAAAATAAAATTGCAACAATATCAGGTCAGAACCAATAACATTGACAAAAAGAATAAAATGGCTTCAATTCCTGATAAGAGAGACACTAACTATCCTTCTGAATGCAAAATATCTAGATATCTTCCAATAAAACAGGCAGAATTTCAGCAGTAATCGTGTCTGTAAATATGGACAACCACAGACAGATGAAATTTGTTGTAATCAGGCCCATTTTTTGGGGAAACATCGAGAATTATACTCTTTCAACAAGTCAGTCTCCATGCATGCATAAATTGAAGCAAAGCGCAAACAAGGGAAGAAGCACAAGTACTGTTTGGAAAAGAAAGTGACAAACCTATGTGGTCCTTTATTTTACACACACACGAGCAAAGAAAATGCATATAAGGTTTTAAACAGGGCTAGGAAAGAGACGTTTTAACCGGATAAACATCAACACAGCATCACCACTATCAAGCCAGCAGATATTAGCTAAACCCACAAATTAAACACGAGAAAGGGTTATTATCTTAGACTCCATTGACTATGCAGGAACATGTAAATGTGACATTAGACTTAATGTTCATCTATACAGATGGTAGTCCAGCAGCAGAAGTTCAGACACAGGATAACTTAAGAAGTAAAGGTTCACTAACCAATTGGTCCTTAGGAGCACTGTCATTAATACCATCAACAGCTGGAAGAGTCCCTTCCAACACTGAAGTAACAATCTTATTGTACTCATTTAAAGATATTTGCAATGATTCTACTGCTTGAGGCAAGTAAGGCTTAAGCTTCGCAGCACAGTTTGCAAATACTGTCTCTCCCAACCTTTTAGCAATTGGTGTGCCCTCCTGAAACAAAACTATTAATATTTAGCACTATCACGAGACTAGAGAGACCTAAGAGGTATAAAATATGAAAAGAATATCATCTCTTCAACCACAACATACCGCATTGTCCTTTTTAACACTAGCCAATAGAGGGGTAAGCAATTCCAAGGATACTTCTTCGCTTTCTTCCAGCACAAGAGTCATGATTGTTGCCATGGATGAAAAAACATTCTCAGAGTGATCCTCTCTGAAAGTGAAAGTCAACAAATGAACAAGACATTCACTATTACAAGCTAAAATGTTCAATAGGAATTAGCATACAAAATAATAAGAAAAATCAAGAGCCTTACATGTGGTAGAGAACATACACCACAGGATTGCATAATCAACATTACCAATCTATTTGTCAGATTTTAATCAAGCATCATCTAGTTAAACCAGTGCAGCAAGTAATTCATTAACAAGTCCACTATCAATCCAAAAGTGAGCACTAGAGCAAACATGGTTATGAATGTACTGGCAGAGGGGTAAGTTTTCCTAAGTTGATGTACACTGTTGAAAGAAAAACCATGACATCCATTCAAGTTTGAATATCTTTTAGATGCAAAACCTTCCAACTTGCAACTGTTTTATATATAGCTACCAAGGGCGTGTTTAACAAACTTTTGGATAAGCTTCTAAATATTTTCTGAAGGAAAAGAAAAACATGTTCAACAGATTTGATGTTTCCAGAAGTTCATTTTATTTCAGTAATAAAATTAGAGAAGTACCCACAGAGAACTTTTAACCCAAAAAATTTTGCGAATTTTTCATGCTGGTGAATCACCAATTAAATATCTTCAAACAACTCTGTAATTCTGACATATAACTTATTCGGTAAAAAATATCTTTTAAGAGCTAGGAGTAAATCATTTCAATGAACTCCTGAAAGTTTAGCAAATTGGATATAGAAAACCAGAACAAGTAAAACCCTGTTCAGATATAATCTCAAATCCCTGCTAATTCAAGAACTTGAAAGTAGTGCCTAACTTGTAAATTATGCTTGACGCGGCTGGAAAGAAAACTTCTTAACTAGAAGCTCCACTTAAAAACATAACCAGACATGAGAAGCTCACAATCTCATAAATCTAAATCACGTTTCGATGGAATGTGAGGTATTATTACTTCAGATATATTCTCTAAAACCATGGTTAAGTCTAAAAGAACAATCCAAGTTAGGCCTTATAAAAAAAATCAATGTGGGATTAAAGAAACATGCCATACCAGAAATCTTTAACCAAACATTTTTTGATAAGAAATCTGAAACCAAACATTATAGAAACAATATAACTGTTGAAACGATATATTGGCAATACCTTATAGTTTTAAGGAAGTGCTGAAACATCTCGGTAATGAGCCCATCACATTCTAGATCCAGCATGACAACACATGACCTGACCTTGGCCACTGTCTCAAGGATCATCACCCTCTTATTATACGATCTGCTGGACAGGTCATCCAGATTCTCAAAAGACGATACAATTAATTGAAAGATATCCTGTATCAAACAAATGAAATGTTATTGAAGGACTGACAGAAGGAAAAAGAATGAGAAAGCAAATTTCTCATACCTTCATTTTGTCATCATCATATGGAGCGTCTGGTGCAGTAATTCTAGTTATCTCACTAATACACGAAGCAACTGCGACCTTCACATCAACATCAGAATGCCTCAAGAGATCATTTGCGACCAATGCCTTCATCAATGGAGAAAGTGCATCATGCATTGATTTCGCCGGTGATTGCTCCACTTTAGACAGGGAAGACTCTACTTGCTTAAAGCAGAGGAAACCAAAAGTACATTAAGATTAGGCAAGAAAAAGACCGTGCATGAGTGCGAATGAAATTTTGTATGTTACTTGCAAAATTAACAGTAAAACCCAAAATCTGCCAAAACAAACAGTCATGATAACTTCTGTTTTGTTATATCAAAAGTATCTATTGATAGATGGGCAATGTAAGAAATATCCGTAATGATGGGAAAGAGTACATCCAAAAAAAATAAAGTCAGCAAGTGTAAGGACCTGCAGCCTGCTAAGTCAACTAAGTCACCACCTCTAAAACTTTTGCTGTGGATTATGGTACACCAAAAACTAAGCAAGAATATAAACTTGGACTCATGATTATCTACATTGTCCTTTCTTAAGTTCAAAAAACTCTAGCTTTTCCTGTTCTCCCTGTAACCAACCATACTACTGCAGGGATAAAATTCCAAACAATTTTTTAGAAGAAAAAGGATATCATATCTAGAAGTCAATGACCCACTAAAAAGGAAAGGGGAAAAAACAAGGGCCAACTTGATCCTCTTTACTACAGATCATGTTAAGGTACCTCATAGAGTCTCACACATCGATGAAGTGATGACAATTAGTTTTTTTTGATAATAGTAACTAAGTGATGACAATAAGTTGGCACCAATTTTATCCACAGGCTAGAGGTTTCTGTATTTTCCCAAAAGAATTATGGCAGCATAAAATCACACAAACCAAATCTTCTAAACAATAATCTAAAGGACATAATTTGGCACATTCATAAAGTCTCATTTTATCACCAGAATATGTGATCTGCATGTTATCAAGGAAATTCCAGGAAACTCATGGTTCCAAATTTGGATCTGTTACTGTTTATCGTTCTGTAACCGGCAACATGAAGATGCACCGTCAGATTTCCTCTAAAAAACAAAATGACAATTAATTGATGAGATTGTTAAACACAAATCAATGCATATAAACTTTCACTAGGGAAAGAAACCCAACAAAATGAAACTTATTTCATTGTGGCTTCTCAATTAAGATGGGGGTTAAATCAATAAACCATTTGCATATGAAAATCATCACTTCAGAAACAAAACTAATATTGCCCATACTCTGCTCCTTGGGAAACCGTCTAGGAAAAGCCAACAGGATTTTCAAGTACTGCCAGAAGAGCCTCACGGGGGAAAACACACAGCACGCCCACAGCCTAACTATCTTTCAGCTTAAATGTTGACTATTATTTAATACGCACAGACTGCCAAGAATATCTATTCTTCTTCCATTTTTTTCATTTTCCCTTTCCTACAAATTGTCAGGCTGTAGGGCACTTATCAAATCAAAAAAATGTTGCACTTATTACCCGCCAACCCACTTGTCCCTCTGGAATTTTCAGATACCATCATTTTGAAATAATTATCAAAAGTAAAAAGCTCCACCAGGAAATGTCAAGATTACAATATCCTGTTCAAATTATTTAACTATTGACATGTTCATATGTCTGACAAAAGCAAACCACAAAACTCTAGGGCTCAAACAAAAAATTGTGACTGATGTATACATCACATACAACAACAACAACATACCCAGTGAATTTCCACATCCCACAGGTGGGGTCTGGAAAAAAAAGAGGGTGGCCCTAGTGGCAATGCCCATCAATTGCAAACCATAATGCTTCAAGATAGTTTAAACCAAACTTACTAAACAGAGTCTGCCAGTTAATAGGAAAAAATGAAAAATTACCAGCAGGCACCATATGCAGATACAGAAACTCCTTATAAAAAAGAAATGCAAAAATATTTCCAAATAGGCACAGACAACAAATATCAAAATAAATTTAGAAGAAACACTAGGAAAGGCATGAATTTTAAAAGCAGTACTTTCAATAAGCAGGATAGTTCAACTCAATGGCAAACTGGAACAGCGGGTAGGCCATTAAGAATTAAATTTGAAGAATAGTAAAGGACTTACATCAAACAAATGGAAAGGAAGAATTAATCAAGCGTAGACTAGAACATATGGCAATCATACAGGGTGGATGATAATGAATAAAGAAAGATTTTTAATCATATTTTGAATTATTAAAAGTTGTCAACTGTTACCTCATTATCAAAATAAATCAAAAGCTAATAACAGTGTTCAAGTGCTCTATATAGAGTAAGAATTAGAATACTGTCCTAGGAGATAACATCTTATACATCACAAGAAAGAGAAACAACGACGACAACAACATAACCAATGTAATCCCACAAGTGGGGTCTAGGGAGGGTGGTGTGTATGTAGCCCTATCACTAACTTGTGAAGGTATTGGAAAGGCTGTTACCAATCAAGAAAGGCTTTTTAAATCATATTTTGAATAACTAAAATTGGGAGGCTGAGATCCAATAGTTGACGCACAGGGTGAAACAAAGGAAAGCAGAATCACAGGTGCTAGGCTGGCTGTTCAATGCTTGCATTTATCATGTCTGGATTGAGCAGAATGCTAGAAAATTTCAACAACACCAGCAGGAATACAAGCATAGAGCCAGAGAAATCATTCCCCAACTTCACACAAAAGGACAACACCAGACCAAATGTGTGTGTGTGGGGGGGGGGGGTTGCTTCAAAGATTAGACAATTTTGCTAGCTAGAATTGTAGAGTAGAAAACTGATAGAATAGCCAGCTTAATGAGGTTTTGTAAAAGAGTGAGGAATTAGCTAAAAGTCCAAATAGCTAATTGGTGTACAAAATCTATACTGGTTGAATAAAAGTTAACCTTTCGACCAAAAGAAAGTTGATAACCTTTACTTGGTTATCAAAATAAAAAATTAGAAGTTGATAACAGTGTTGAACAAGGGCAGAGCTACAGCAGTGCTAGGGTAATTAACAAGGGCAGAGCTACGGCGGTGCTAGGTTAATCAACAAGGGTAGAGCTACGGAGGTACTAGGGTAATCAGCCAAACACCCTTAGCCTTAAATATTAGTTTTTATTTCTATATATAGAATTTTGAGCACCCTTTGACACAACCGAGAGCAGAGGTCACCGGTCAAGGGTGTGCACATAGCTCCCAGATGCGGAAGTTCAGGTTGGATGCCCTAGAGTTGACACATAGTTCAATTATTTTGTTGCCTTCCAAGTTTTATTCTTTGAATCTAGGCCTAATTAGCTCTCAAGTAAAGAGAGCATCACACAAAAACAGAAACTCTACCCGAGAATTACTTGAGACAAACATCTAAGACAATTCGAAGTAACCAAAAAATGGTATGAAATAGTTTAAGATACCGAAAAAAAAACCTAAATAGAAAAATCTAAAAAAAAATCATTAAACGCAGCATTCGATATATACCAAAACAGAATTCACAAAAAAATACCAAAAATAAATTAAAAATGCTTACGTCAAGCAAACGGAGGAGTTCGTCAAGTGAAGAAGGAGGCTCAATCAGCTTATTCCCAGCAACCGCAATCTGCTCTTCAAGCTCTTTATCAAAAGGCGCCATCGTTTCCTTTCTCTCTTCAAAATCTTCCAGAAAAATCCAAGATTTATAACCTCAAATCACTCCTCAGACCATCAAACACCCGAACAAACACAAATCGAAACCCTAGAAATCGCAATTCGTTCGTGCTTTGCAGAGGCAAAAGAGATCTTGTGAAACCCTAGAAGAACAAGTGTCGTTTTTTTTTTTTTTTCCAGTAGAAATACAGATGGGCTCTTTTTCGGTTTATATATTTTTTATTTTTGTTCTTTTTTGGAAAGATAATAAATGGTGTAAATTTAAAGGGTTGAATTTATGGAGGGCTTTCGTTGTTGGGAAATAAAAAGTAAAGAGAATCCCGCTAAGGGTCGGAATTATGGAGAGTCATTCAATTTTAGTTTAATTCTGAATTTCAAGTCCGCCAATTGGAATTTGAAGGTACGTGGCATTTTCTCCATTTGTGATGAAAAATGTCCATATACCCTGTCTTAATTTTGTGTGTTTTTAGGGAAAAAAATAACTCTAATTGTTATTATATTGTAGTAGTTTATAAATTTACTATTTTTATTAAGTTTCAATTCATTTAGATAGGTAGTGATAGGTTAAAAAAATATTGAGAAGAGATAGTTAGACGGGATGTAGTATAGCTTTAGGTTATCGTGTACGTGATCTTAGCTAGGAAGATATAGAGATCGCGTATTAGGATAAAAGGTTAATGTGTTTAGGTTATCGCATTATTACATGATTGTTTCTGTTTTCTTATTAGTTGTTTAGTTTTCTCCACGGCACATTACTCTCTTTAAATATTACTTGTGGATTTCACTAAATATGATATTGTTTGTTGTTAAAAATATATTTTATCAGTACAAATATTTTGAGATGCAATGTCGATCACATTAGGTGAAGTCATTATTTGTGGCGGTGCTTAAAATAAAGGTCAAAGCTTTAAGTGAAAGTCTTTATGCTTAAGTAGTTATTTATAAATTTATCCTCATCATACCGAGAAAAAACGATTAATCTAGCTATAGAAGGAAAACGATTTTTTCTTATTTGTAATTTCTCATAAGTTATTGCAAAAAATGAGTATCATAATCAGATTAATATTTTGATTCAAGTGAGTACAGAGAACGTGCTTCACATTATTATATGACATTTTGATAAAATTATCTGTTGCAACTTGTAACTATGTACATTTTTTGAATATACAAACTAAAATACGTAAAGTTATTTTTCATCTAACATAACCTTATAAGAAGATGGATTGTGTATAGTCAAAGTTCAAACACATTAAATTCACCGTTCTCATTTGAATATCAAACGTCATGATTATTATACAGAGACTAAAACTTAAATGGCGTTTGAAAAGAGAAAATAATCAAAATAAAGTTGACAAAAATTGCATAAAGCGCACTTGATTATTACGCTAAATGAGATTCATTAATGGACAAGCCTAAACGATCGTTACAATCCATAAATCTCATGCAACACACTAAGAACTAGTTTAGATTGGCTTAAAAAATAATTTTTAATGAAAAAAAAAAGTCAAACTTAAATGACTTTCAAGTCAAAAAATAAAAAGTCAAACTTAAATTATCTTTTTTAACCTTTTAAAGTCATTTTAAACTTATTTTAAGTTATTTTTAACTTTGTCAAACACCTTCAAAAACTAAAATTGACTAGAAGTAAGTTTGACCAACTTAAATCAATCCAAACAAGCTTTAAATAAGTGTGTTATATGTGAATATAATATATATTTTTCCTATTACCTTAAGAGTATGAATTATCTAACTTGGATGTTAAATTACTATAATACCTGCAACTAAAAACATATTATTAAAAAAAAAAATCAAACTTAAATGACTTTCAAGTCAAACTTAAAAGACTTTTTTAAACCTTTTTAAAGTTATTTTTAAACTTATTTTAAGATATTTTTAACTTTGTCAAACACCTTCAAAAGCTAAAATTGACTAAAAGTAAGTTTGACCAACTTTTAAGTCAATCCAAACAGGCTTTAAATAAGTGTGTTATATGTGAATATAATATATATCTTTCATATTACCTTAAGAATATAAATTCTCTAACATGGATGTTAAATTACTACAATACCCGCAACTAAAACATATTTATTTATTTATAATATATTAAAAGCGGGTACCTTTTCATAATGAAGGATTGTGACTTTTTTGAAGGACTGTGATTTTTTTAAAGTGTTGTGACTTTTCTACTAAGGTACAATAAACACATGTTCATACTACCCCTTGTTGGTTATAAATAGAGAGACTTCCTTTAATTTTAAATATAGGTAACTTGAATGTTTAATAAGCATGCACCTTTACACATTGAAGGACTGTGACTTTTTTGAAAAATTGTGAATTTTTTAGTAAAGATACAATAAACACATGATTATACTATCCTTCGTTGGCTATAAATATAGAAAAAATTGCGTGGGATGGCAAACATCCCTAAGTAATTAGTTAATAAGGGTATAGTTTAATTTATTTACTATTAGTAAATATAGTTTCAGTTTTTTTGTCGTAATTAATGGGACCCACTACCTATTTGTATACCGAATCAAAAAAGCCATCCAAAGATTTTGTATATAATTTTATATAAAATCAAATTTATCTCTCCTATCCTCATTCCATATCTTTCTCCTAAAATCACTCTTCCCCTTCTAATTTGAATTTCGAATTGGGAAAATTTCGACCTTCTCCCTCCAATCATACTCCCACTTTTTGTAGGTAACCGCCAAATTTGTGGCTTTCAATACTTTTCACAGGTAACAGAATACAACACACTATTTTGTATATAAACACTACACAACTATATATACAAACAATTTCCAACACCATCTTTTGTACATAAACTGTACACAACTGTATGTATAAACAGACTACAACACACCTTTTTGTATATAAACATTACACAATTATATACAAACAAATTTCAAGATTAACACATATACAATTGACAAATGATATTATACAACCAGTTTAATCAATAATTAAAAAAAAACATGAAATTACATATGCACATATACAAATATAATACATATACAAAATTATAGTACATTATACAAATTCCTAGATATATACAAAAAATTATGAACATAGTAAAGTATTGTATATATAAGCATTATGCACTCAAATATACAAACAGATTTCAAGCTTACCACATATACAATTGACAAATGAATATTATACAATCAGTTTAATCATTAATTTAAAAAAAAACACGAAATTACATATGCCCATATACAAATATAATACATATACAAAATTATTGTACACTAGTAAAATTACCACTGAAATTTATAAAATAATAATAAAACCCTATAGGTCATTAAAACTAAAACACTATATTATATTACATACAAGATTACGTAGTAACAAACATTAATAATGTAAGAAAAATGAAAATTATTACATTTTATCATTTATCCTTAATAACATAAGCAAAAATTAATGACTGTAAAAATACATACTAGGATCTGTAACATAAGCAATGATGTCAGTTAGCCACTCAACATGAGCAAAGTACACAAATATTTAATTGTGAAGAAGAAGAGGTTCAAAATTTTCGTTGTTTTAAAATGAGAGAAAACCCCTCTATTTATAGACAACAAAGGGTAGTGTGAACAAATGTTTATTGTGTCTTATCAAAAAGGTTAAAACTATTTGAAAAAGTTGCAACTCTTCGAAAAGGTCACAATCTTTCATAAAAGTCATAACTTTTCTTAAAAATTGTAACTCTTCATTAAAGTCGCAACTCTTCATAATAGTTACAACTTTTCATAAAAGTAACAACTTTTCATAAAAGTCACAATTTTTCATATAAGTCGCAACTCTTCATTAAAGTTGCAACTTTTCATAAAAGTCGCATCTTTTTATAAAAGTCACATTTTTTTATAAAAGTTACAATTTTTTATGAAAGGGGAAGGCTAGTTTTATAAATAAATAAATTAAAAGAGAATTATGGTTTGTGGTGGTGCCACGTAGGCGGGCATAAGGTTATCTTTTATATATATATATATATGATTATACAAATTCCTAGATATATACAAAAAAAAATATGAACATAATAAAATTTTGTATGTATAAGCATTACACACTCAAATACATAAACAGACTACACAAAAAAAAATTAAAACAAATACAACACAATCTTTTTTTTTAAACAAACACGACTATCATATATACAATTTTCATATTATGATGGTCACATATACAATTAATAACACATAAATATTGTATAAAAAAAGATATACAATATAATCAATTTATATATATACAAATAGGTTCATTAACGCCTGAGTGTTTCATACGATTTATCTAATATTGTATAAATAAGGAAAAATTGATAACTCCTTTTTTATACAATCACAATCGGCACACAAGTAGAAATCGTTTCATAATTTCAACATTTACGCTATACTAATCAATTATATACTTTATTGCAATTCAAAACGTGAAGTTTCCTTCAATGAAACCTTACCTGTCGTTGACTATACCAAAAAATTGATCAATCTGATGATTCAGTCGTGCCCGGAAACAAGTTTGTATGATCTTTCTGTAGCTATAAAATTATTTTTTGAAAAAATATTTGATTTTGAACTCTTAGCTTAAATCATGGGATTGTGTAAATGTTTGTTACCGTATTTAGCGCTACTGTTACCATTCGATGAAAAAGTAAAATATTGTATAAATTAAAAACAAAAAAAAAACGTTTTATACAAATTAAAAGTTACATAACAAACTAAACTATACTCATAGAATGTAATTATGTAAACTATACTCATATTATGTTATTTCATAAATTACGTTTGCCATATATGAAATTTTTTCATAAATATATAGGCTTCCTCTCATTTTTAAACACATGTAACATCAATGTTTAATTAATATAATACCCCCAACTTAAATAAAACCAAATTTAATTATTAAATATTATAATATCCTTAATTAAATACACTCAATATAACATATCTTATATATTCTATATTTATTTATTTATATTATATTTTAAGTAGACACAATTTCACATTGAAGGGTTGTGACTTTTCTGGAATAGTTGTGATTTTTTTGATAAGGCACAATAACACGTTCATATTATTCTTTGTTGACTATAAATAAAGGAGTTCAATGGACTCGATTTTTTTATTTTTCCATCTTGGTTTATTATTATTATTATTGAATATTTCTTATTCTCTATTTTATTTTGTGTGTGTTTTCGCTTTATTAGACTTCTTTAATTTAATTT